TTTTGGAACTTGGAACTTGGGTGTTGGACTGACCTGAGATCCTGGCTGTGGCCGTGCCACGCAGGAATGTAAAAGCCGATGAGGTGGGAAGAAGCCCCAAGATTTCCCAGAGAGTGGATTGAGTAGCTGGGTTGTACTGGATGCAAAGGATCAGGGAGAGGAAAGGTAAGCCTCTGAGCCCCAGAAAGAGGCTGTCAGCCCCAGAAAGAGGCTGGCGGGTATTGCAGGACCAGGGAAGTAGAGGGAGGTGAGGGCAGGGCCAGGTCCAGAAGCAGTGCTCTTGGGGCCCAACGAAGGCACTGAGTTGGTCTGGGTGAAAAAGATCACGAAGCAGTATTGGTTCCCCAGGTGTCTGGGGACCGAAGACTCGGAGTGGCGCAGGGCCCAAACTAGGAGTAGAGAACAGTCGGGGAGATGGAAGGGTGAATAAGGCTGGGGGAGTCAAGGCGCGGAGGGCTGCGTGATAGACTTACCCCAAGAGGCCTGAGGATAGGAGAGCCCAAAGATTTCTCTCTTTGAGACAAGGTCTCCCTGTAGCTGCAGCTGACCTGGGTTTGTTACGGAGACCAGGCTGGCCTTGAACTCAGCTCCGCCTGCCTCTGCCTCCAGAGTGCTGGGATTAAAGGCATGTGCCACCATGCCCAGCTGATAGCTTGGCTGTTAAAGGCTCAGGCTACCAACCAAAGATCTCTTAAGTGCTATTAGTGCTTATCGCAGTTTTAGAAGTTCATGTACCTTCTACTCATTTGTTATTGCTTCTTGTCCATAGCATAACTTCATTAAAGATACTTACTATAGAAAATGACAGATATTTCAAAATTGACTTTTAAGAGTACATTTAATTATATCTTTTACATCTAAATATAAATATAAAGGATTACTGATATTTGCAATTAGTTAATTAGATTGATACCACAAAACATTTAAAACTTTTGAGTCACCTAGTTTTTTTTTTTTCTTTTTTGAGACAGCGTGTCACTATGTAGCCCTGCTGGCCTGGAATTCACTTTGTAGACCAGGCTATCCTCAAACTCAGAGATCCACATGCCTCTGCCTCGTGATTGCTGGGTTAAAGGCATGTACCATCATGCCTGACTCTCCAATCTTTTTTTTTTTAAGACATAGTTGCCCTGTATAGTCTGAATTGGCCTAGAACTTGCCCTGTAGACCAGGCTGGCCTCAAATTCACACTCTTCCTGCTTCAGCCTCCTGAGCACTGGGACTGCAGGCCTGCCTTTATGTAGTTTACTAACTCCTCATTGTAAAGTGCTCTGTTGCTTGACAGCATTTTACAAAGCAGTCAGGTACTCAGCCTTTGTGCAGTGGTTGCTTCTATTGTTGTTGTGACAAAATACCTGACAAAAGCAATTTAAGGATTAATTTTGGCTCACAGTTTAAGAGTATAGACCACCATGGTGGGGAAGTAATGGTGACTAATCTCTTTAATAATTTCTGCTTATTTTTAAACCTGCCTTGTTTGTAATGTTAAACTCACACCTTTTTCCTTCTTCCCCAACTGCATGTTTTTCATATTTTTCTGCTTTATTTATTTGCTCTCTGTCATTATAGACCTGGATGAGAGCGGTGAGCAGTTTCCATGACAGGCTGAATTCTGCCCTGTCTTGAGACTTTTTTTCCACTAAGCACATTAGTCCATTACTTTTAAACTTGGTCTCACTTAAGTTCTCAGAACACAGTAGAACGGCAGCTAGATTCTTGGACAGAATTTAATAGTGATGGCTCCTAGCCAGTTCCTGATAGAGTCCTGTTTCCTCTGAAACCTCACACGCCTGGCCTCCACTGTCTTCATTTCTCTTGGCATTCTGGTCTTCCAAATGCACACTAGAACAGCCCATTAAGCTTACAACATTCTAGAGATTTTCTAGACCAAAATGCCTATGTTCCTTTTCATTCCAAAAGCCTAATAAGAACCATGTGGTCAAGTTTATCACAGTAGTGACTCCAATTCTAGTACCAGTTTTCAGGATTTGTTTCTTGTTGCTGTGACAAAATGTGTGATGTAAGAAAAGGCAGCTTTATTTTGGCTTGCATCACAGTTCATCACAGATGGTATGTCATTGTGACAGGGGAATTAATAGGCAGCTAGCTGATAGCAATGCATCCGCAGTCAGGAATCACAGAAATGAGTTTGTCCTTTGAGGTAAGAACCCAATTCCAGTTTTAAAATATAAATTTAGAGCTTTAAGAACAGGTGTAGGTATTGAAATGAAATGAAAAAAAGAAAATACGGTAAGCACTACTTTTAAAATTTGTTATTTTAATCCAATTCTTTTATGTGTTTCATTTCCCTGTCTTCATCTTTTCTTTTAGGAAAAGCTTTGTTTGGTGGGGTGAAAGCGAAGCCCTCTCTTTGTCATATGCATGGATGTTCTTTTTTTTTTTTTTCCTATAGCTCCTGAGTATTGGTGTTCCATTGCTTACTTTGAAATGGATGTTCAGGTAGGAGAGACATTTAAGGTTCCTTCAAGCTGCCCTATTGTAACTGTTGATGGATACGTGGATCCTTCTGGAGGAGATCGCTTTTGCTTGGGCCAACTCTCCAATGTCCACAGGACAGAAGCCATTGAGAGAGCAAGGTATAGAGAGAGAGAAAAAAAAAATTAAACCTAGTACAGCAGTTTCAATTTAAGGTTATTATTTGTCTATGTATTATGTCTTAAATATAAAGGATTAAAGATTATTATTCTAAAAATTCAGAACTTGTAAGCATTCCATTTTAATTGTAGCTCTTTGCTTAATATATAATTATAAAAGCTAGAGAGGTTTCTGTGTTTTTTGTTGTTTTCAGACAGAGTCTCCATTTGTAACCTCAACTGGCCTGCTGCTCACCATGTAGAACAGGCTTGCCTCGATCTCACAGAGATCTGCTTGCCTCTCTCCAAGTACTGAGTTTGACGGCATGTTCCGTTGTGCCCAGCAGTGGCTATGTTTTGAATAGTAACTAATTTCTTTCTGTGTTGTCTAGTTCAGTAGTCATTAACCACATGTGACTTTTGAGCAACTAAAATATAGCTCATGTGATTGAGTAGCTGAATTTTAAATTAAATGCAAATAGCTGTTAGTGGCTGTTGGTTTGGGGAGTGTAGCATATAAGCCTCAGCTTCCTCATAAAAAATAGAAATTAGGGGTTGGAGAGATGACTCGGCTGTTAAGAGCACTGACTGCTCTTGCAGAGGACCTGGGTTCAATTCCCAGCACCCACATGGCAGCTAACAACTGACCATAAACTCCATTTCCAGGGGAATCTGATGCCCTCTTCTGACATCCATTGGCATTGCATGACATGTGTGCACTTAACATATATGCAGGCAATACATTCATACACATAAAATAAAAATAATAAAATTTTAAAAATAGAAATTATATGGGGCTGGAGAGATGGCTCAGCAGTTGTTTGCTGCTCTTGGCTGTATTTGCAATCTGAACTAAGAGGATTGTGGAGTTCAGTTCTTAGCCACCCATGTTAGGCATCTTACAGTTAGCTGCCTGCAACTCAAACTCTAGGGGATCTGATGCCATCTTTTGGCTTCTGCGGACACCCACTTCCTCACACATACACATACACACACACATACACATACATAGATAAAATAAACCCATTTAAAAAATTATAGAATTTACATCGAGTTGGGGGTGTCAATGAAATGCGTTTTAAGTGCTTCTGATACAGCAAGCACTATGTATATATGCATATTATAATTGTGTATGAAAAGGAAATACAGAAGACGTTAACAGTGGCTGTCTTTTAACTATTGTATTATGTCCTTATTTGGTACTTTTAATTTTTCAGTATTGACTATGCAATATAATCTGACTAAAATTAATTTGTAAATAACTAAGATGAAATGTAATTTCATTTTCCTTCCTAAGGTTGCACATAGGCAAAGGCGTGCAGTTGGAATGTAAAGGTGAAGGTGATGTCTGGGTCAGGTGCCTTAGTGACCATGCAGTCTTTGTACAGAGTTACTACCTAGACAGAGAAGCTGGACGAGCGCCTGGAGATGCTGTTCATAAGATCTACCCAAGTGCGTATATAAAGGTTAGTTGAAATTTTATTTGAATATTAAACTTAAAAACCTGTATATTCTACAAAAAGTGGACATAGAGGTAAAGAAAATAAAACAGATCTTATGTTAATACATTGTAGCCAGGAGTGGTGATACAGGCTTATATACAGTAAGCAGAGGCAGGAGAATTGCAAGTTGAAATCTATCTTTTGCCACACAGTGCTACTCTGTTTTAAAAAGTAGAGCAAGCCCCACGACAAAAAAATGTGCGTATTTTGAAAATAAAATATATTTCCTGAGATCTATGTATTTTTGTAACCAGCTGTCTAGTTTTATGGATACTTTTACATTTAGTATTTTCAAATTTGTGATGGTTTAGAGTAGTATATAGACCTTTGAAAACATTGAAGAAAATCTCCAAACTTGTATTCTTTTGACATGAAATTGGTAAAAATCA